ATACCTCTGATTTCGAACTCAAACCACTTAAAGGTAAGTCTAATGTTGTAGCAGACGCACTTTCTAGGAGTGATTTCTTTGAGGCTATAGTCTCTTACCTGGATGTTGGGAATGATGTGAAAGATCAGATTCACGCTGGATATGCCACTGACCCTGTCTAAAAACCAATCATGGATATCCTAGCCAAGGACCCATCCCAACTTCCTCACTATCGATTGTCTGATGGCTTACTCTTCTTGTTGGACAAGACAGAACAGAGATTGTGCATTCCTCACAAGGAAGAACTTAAAAGTCTATTGATTGGGGAATGTCATGACACAGAGGGACACTTAGGTTTCAAGAAGACGTATGCTGAGGTGCGTGAGCACTATGAATGGAAGGGTTTAAAAGAGGATGTACTAACGTACGTTCGTACGTGCCAAGTATGTCAGAGAAACAAACCGTCTCATGAGAACCCTTTGGGTTTACTCCGACCACTACCTATTCCGAGTGAGCCAGGTGAGTYTGTGTCCATAGACTTCATGAAACTCACCAAGTCTCGAAATGGCAATAGTCAAGTTATGGTTGTGRTTGACCRTTTCTCTAAATATGCCATGTTCATACCCTTGCCTGCAGAGGCCAAGACTGAGCTTGTGATTGCTAAATTTCAGATGCGATGGGTAACTGAGTATGGGTTTCCCATGTCTATTGTATCTGACCGCGATGTCAAGTTCACAAGCATGCCTTGGCAGAAGCTGATGGAGGCCTACGATACACAACTCACCATGTTGTCAGGTAGACACCCTGAAACGAATGTCCAGTCTGAGCAAATGAACCGTATGGTCCAACAACTTCTGAGAATGTATGTCCTTCCTGACAAAATAGACTGGGATGAGAACTTACCCAAGATTGTCGGTGCATATAACAATAGTGTGCCGGGACGCACACGTAACGCACTGCACAAGGGATGGAAGCCTAAGCGTCCCATTGATGTTTTAACCAGGGATCAGTTTCTTAGACTTCCACCAGGGACAAGAATATGCCATTATGTTTCAAGAAGACATTAAAAAGGTGAAGGAGAATCTGAGGAAAACCCAAGAGCGCATGATTGAACAAGCTAACAAACACCGACCCCCATCTACTTTTCAAGTTGGTGAATTGGTCTGGGTTAAGTCCAAAGAGTTCACTCTAGAAGAGGATGTTTCTTAGAAACTGATGCCTGTTTATCTAGGACCCTGGGAAGTTCTCAAGGTGATAGGGGATGCCGATGGACCATCATACCGGATTGACATTCCCCCTCATCTTCGGACATACCCCGTCTTTCACGCGTCTAAACTGCTTCCATATGTAGAAGGAACAGAATTTCCTCACCGACCATTTGCCATACCTCCTATGAATGGCAGCTATGTGGTTGAGAAAATTACTGACCATGGATTCTTTTCTACTGGTGGAAGAGGTAGACCTCAGAAGCAGTATAAAGTGAGATTCCAGTTCCAAGATGCCTCTGAAGACCGTTGGTTTAGCAGACGGGAACTGATGGATACTGCTCCTGATATTGTTGCTAGCTATGAACGCGGACTGAAGTCTTAAGTATTTCTGCGGTGGAACTCGAATTCGGGCCGGCAGGAATGCAGTAAACCGCGTTCAGCAGCGGCCTGGGCGCTGTAACCCAAGCCCAGGCCCAACGAGCAGTGCAACCACGCGCTGCTCGGCCTCAGGCCGCTGCGGGTGCTGTGTGACCACGCACAGCAAGAAATTCAAAGGTCAAAGTGAACTGTAGGTCCAGGTACC